CTCCGTTTGTGTTCTACTGAAGAAACAAAGTCACCTACATCTTGGATGCCCTGGAGGTAAGCTGATAAACATCAAATTTTCATTTTTGGGTGAACTATGCCTTTAAGTTATAAAGTAAAGACTAATATGTTCTCCCAGAACCCAAGACTTGTTCTGACTAGTGTCTTTGTCTGCAAGGTGTTTAGAACTGCTCTTGAATTATGGAAGACCAGCCTTTTGGGAAGAATCTCCAGGGTTGAATATAATTATGCCCAGAGATGCTCTGTGGAATGAGAGTTCAGGGGTCACATTAAGTTTAAGCGTTTCCTTGGTACCGACTTGTTCGTGGGACCCTTGTGACCCTTTACTACTGCTGAGTTCACCATTAATTCTGTCATGCTTTGTTTCTTGTCCTCCCTCTTTATTTCCTTCATGCACACAGAGTTGTAAGTGGTACCCTGACACAAAGATGACCCTGAATCCTCTCAGACAGTTGTAGACAGGCTGGCTTTGGCATGGTGGTGTGAATATGAGTTGTGTTTGAGAGTGATGACACACTGAGATGAAGAATCTTCCTGCTTTTTGGGGGGTAGGAATGATAGTTTGTACATATTTTCGGCTTTGTAACTTTGGAGAGAATCCAGATGTTTTCCACGTAGCCTCTTTCTTGGAGATTACTTCAGCAAGAATCAATATACCTGCTGGATCGATCCACCCCTCACATTTTCCTCCTTTATCATTTACTTCCTCAAAAAGTGCCTAAAATTCCCTCGAACGTTCCTCAAAACCACAAACCTGCACAATCAACAAGTGTTTTCACTCTTGAGTGCCTGGAACAGGCACGTGGAGGACCAACGTGAAACACGAGGCAGGAAGTGAATAAGAGAGGAGATTTTGACTGCGCGACTGTACCAGACACTGTCACCTCTCCCTCGCCCACATTGAGAAGCCCTAAGGAGGAACATTAACGGCATGTAAATATTTTGATATCTGGATTCCATGAACGTGAAAAGAAGGTGGTTCTGTCCCAGCTGGCACCTCAGCAACTGAGGAATGTCTGGACTACGAGGGGCTTCCAGTCTCACTGCTACTGTTTCCATCGCTTACACATGGACCCCTCGCTCTTAAACGTAGTCACATGTGGGAATGGTTTCTTACTTATACGAATGACTGTAAGTGCGTATGTCTCAGACGTACTAGTCTATATGTGCTGACAGACAGCATTTACAGTCTCAAAGACCTCTTTGTCAGGTCTCATTCCTAAAAAATGCCCACACGTTCTGAAGTAAAGGTGATGTGATTGAGTGAAAGATGACGTCTGTTTGGTTGTACACATACACATTTACACATTTAGATTATTAACAGTGATTTAATCCAATAAATATCTTTAAAAGAATTTGCACATGAAAGTACCTCATGAAAAACATATTTTGGACAGACTTTTGAGCTTTGGTGATAACTAAGCAAACATTTAATTACAATGCTACAATAGTAATTTTATGCTACAAATGACATTAAAAGTGGAAAATGTTCCCCTCCAAGAATTGTGGTGACATACATGTGTTAACAGCTAATATGCTGCTTTTTAATGATGGAGATTCGCTTTGATCTAAACGGCAATCTTGAGGGCAAATGGGTTTCTGGCATTTGTCCAGCAATGTCAGACATCTTTTTAATTTCTTGCATAAGGTAAAGAGCACTGTTAGCTGCAGTTGCTTGCTTTATTTAATTGATTTCATACATTTTCACTGTGAATTAGACACAAAACCTTGCCATTGTTAGTGCTTTGCTGTGCCATTGAGCTACAGGAACACAAAAATGCCTTTCATGTGAATTCATAGTATTTTCTGGTTAAGAGACCTCAATAGGGTCCGTTTTCTTTTACCTGTCTAGGAATTTCCCCAAAACAAAACCTTGGATTTGAAGTCTTGATGGCTCCTGTCGAACTTGTCATCATATCAGTCAGGAAGATTGCCTACAACATTGCCTTCATTGTTGGTCACTGCATGTCGAGTCTTGGGCCAGACATTCTTCAAGCTTAACAAAGCAGAAATTGTTGGTTCAGGTATTATGTACAGAGAACATTCCTTGTTAGACTGATACTTTATCCCTTAAAGGGTGTTTGATGTAATACCCAACACCTGCAACATAGTGCTGGGCAGTATACTGGTTTAAATGGTAAACCAGTTTGAATTACACACACGGTATGAATAAAAAAAAATAAAAAAAACAGCATACCAGTACAAGTGGCTCAGCAACGGTAACCTTAGACAGTGTCCTGAATTGAGAGAGGATCCTTATTAAAAGCATACATTTCTGACTAATGACTGGATAACTTTTAGAAATATTAATTACACACAACTAATTCTTTAATTTTGCAAATAAACCAACTGTAAATGGCTGACAGAGGCCAGGGATGTTGAAGACGAATGCAAAGAGGAGAAAATAGCAGGCAGAGAAAAACTCACTTCACCATCCGGTGGAACAAAATCCTAAATACTGAAGTGGGGGTGGGGGTTTAAATAAATCTATCTCTGAGGGGAACTGAAAACTTCAGAAAAGTTGAGATGGTATTTTCTTTTCATCTTACCTCCATATAATGCATATTAAAGGGTTAGTTCACCCCAAAATGAAAATTCTGTCATTAATTACGCACCCTCATGTCGTTCCAAACCCGTAAGACCTTTGTTCGTCTTCGGAACAACAAATTAAGTTCTGTCAGGACCACTATCGTCAGAATGATAGATACTTAGCATAAAGTTTGGTTTGGCGGTATGGTTCTGTTCTGGGCAAAAAACCTCCCTGCCCATCCATGCAGCCTGTCATGAATGAGCAGGGAGAGCAGCAATAATAACCCCCCTAGGGGATTAAATGTGAGAGCTTTCAGACCCTGCATAGACAGCAACGCAACTGTAATGGTCCCAGGTCCAGAAACGTAGTAAGGACATCGGTAAAACAGTCCATGTGACATCAGTGGCTCAACTTCAGTTTTGTGAAGCTACGGGAATACTTTTTGAGCGCAAAGAAAACAAAAATAACAATTTATTTAACAATTCTTCTCCCCCAAGTTACGTCTTCTGCTATTTTGGAGAGTACCCAAGAGCGTAGTTGACGTAATCAGCGTTGTTTACGTTCGGGGGAGAAAGCACACGCATGAACGTAATCTGCGTAATCAGCGTTGTTTATGCTTAGGGGATACTTAGGGGATGCTTAGGGGATAGTTGTGAAACTCTCTGCATGGTCGTTTCTACGTTTCTACATGATATGTTTCTGGACCTGGGAACATTACAGTTGTGTTGCTGTCTATGCAGGGTCTGAGAGCTCTCACATTTCATCAAAAATATCTTAATTTGTGTTCCGAAGATGAACGAAGGTCTTACGGGTTTGGAACAACATGAGAGTGAGTAATTAATGACAGAATTTTCATTTTGGGGTGAACTAACCCTTTAATGTAGTATTGGAAATCACATAGGTGGTTTGTTTTCAGCAGTAACCAAGTAAACGCTGTATCGCTGCTGTTCCATAAGCGCCACCTGCTGTCACATTTTTGAATTTGCAGTTTTCATTCAGCCCATCTGCAGTTTCGGTTTCGTGCAGACATGTTTTATGTAGCATAATTTCAAAAATCTTAAAGTCAGATTAGAACATCAGAAAAAAAATCTGTTTTTGCTTCAGATTTTGATATTATACAATATAATTTATATCAAAAACTGCTCATGTTGCATATGTTTGTTTGGATTGTGATTAAAATGCAGTCTCATGCATTCTGATAAAAGCACAGTCAGGGTGTGATAAACCATGAAACCGTGATACAGATTTGTGGTCTGTCCTCCCAGCACTACCTGCAAGGCATTTTTTTGTATATGTAAATATATAAATATGAGGATGTATGAAAATTCCAACTGTATTTTCCATCAGCAAACTCAAATGTACTTATGCCATCATAGTATATCAATCTCTGAATTTCTTATGTGGGCAAAACCTGAGAATGATAAAACAGGGCGTCTCTTTGTTTTAAAAATATGCAGTGGAAGGTGTCTGGTCTGGTTTCTTTAGACGGAGGTCACGCTATCAGGCAACAGGCGTAGGCTCTTCCTCACATCTGGCTGCATGACCCCGACTCACACCCTCAGCTTCAACACTCAGCTCTTTGGTTTCCTCCAGACTTCCCTTGCTTAAGCAAACAGTGATGTGTCTGACTAGAGAGCCCACTTCAACGGACCCAACCCATCAGTCTGGCCTTTATATAGTAATATTTACATTAAACTCAGTTCTGCTCACTCTGCGTCTAGAGCATTTAGGTCTTTGTGAGGCCGCCACATTCCTTTGGCTTCATCCCGTCGGCCAACTTTCTCTCTCTCTTTTCTTTCATGCACACACATGCCAAAATTAAATTAGATGCCACAGTCTTCGTCTTATGTTTACCGTGGTCAGTTGAAACATGTCCGGTAACCACCTTCCCGATAATAGTACAACATTTCTTGGTTTACGCATCTAAAACATTCCTTACAGTTGATATCATGACAAACATCCCTTATGAGGGCACATGTGAGGGTATTTTTTGGGGCAACCAAAGGTGCTTTTGAATTTTATAACAGTTAATACTCCTGTAACTTAATGGATTGGATGACAGATTCATGTGCTACTGTAATGAAAGTTCATGAACTCCTCAAAATCTGGGATGACCACCACAAGACTGGTTAAGAATGTTTTGAGAGATATTGAAGTGAGGTTTTTGGTCAAATTCCAACTTTGGCCTTGTCTTATAAACTGTCTTTGGCGAGCCTTGTCAAATGTGAGTCATGAATTATCTGGCTCCTCGGTTTGGCCCTCAGATTCCACCCTGAAAGAGTAGAAGACACTTTTCAGACTAAAACAGTGTCTGCAACATATCCAGAACTTTTTCCAAGTAATTTACTGCTACTTGAGGAAGTGACCTGAATAAACGATCCATTCTGGGAATATTGTGGGAATTCTGATAATGACTGATAACATGTTCTTTTGTTTTTTTCCCTCCCTAGACTCTCGAAGAACGGGTGGAAGAAATCCGTATAAGACCCATTTCATCCCACCTCAAGCGCATACCCGTCACTGAAGGCTACGTGGAGATTAAGGAACGGGGCAAATGGAGGCAGATCTGTGATGAGGCGTGGACCCCCCTTAACAACCGAGTCGTCTGTGGAATGTACGGATTCCCCGGAGACAAGAATTACAACAACAAAGTCTATAAGTAAGGAAAAGTCCCCGCTGCTTTGCTTTGTATGATAACCGGCCATGAGTCAAGCACAAATTTGAAAAAAGATACATTTTCAGGCCTTTGTGATTAGGACGCAATAAAAATCAAGAAAAAACAGGCAAGAAAGAAAGCAGACACACACATAGATATTCGGGTTTCCCCAAAAGTAACAATAACTTTGTAAAGTTTAAAGTTACCATGCAAACAGGCAACAAGAGTTATTTAGTCTTGAGATGTGTGTGAACGCCTCCCCAAGTGAGTCATGGCCAGATTGTTTCCCAACATACTTCTTGGCCGTTTCCCATCTAGCAGAGAACATTGTGTTTCCACTGTAACTCCGTTAAGGACATTTTACAGTATAACTGCCTATAAATTATAATTTTAGGGTGTACCACATTTGTACACTAAAACACACTATAACACACAAAAGTTCATAGCCAGTGTATATATTTTTGTATAAGTATATAAAAAAAAAACATTCCAGGAAATGTTCAGAAAATATGAGTTTTTTTTTTGTTGTATTCATGGGTTTATTTCTAAACTAAGCAACATACTAAAGAAAGTAATGCCTGGTGATATTTAAAGATGAGGTTTGTCTATGTTTGTTTGTTTGTTGGAACATTTCATAATGGTCCACTTTTTAAGCCACTGGCCATGTGACCTCACTTTTCCTCAGTCCATTTATGTTAAGTCTGGGCCTTTAATGTTATTCATACCATTGAGAAACACAATTTTGCAATGAGTAGGACATCGTAAATTATATTGCCTTACATCACAGTCGATGTATAGTACCAAAATGCTATTGAGATATCAAAAAATGCTCACAAATTTTAACGGACTTGTAATGAACTCAGAACATGCTGTACTCATTAAACGAGTGTTTAAAGATTCCCTGATCTGAAGGAAAGGAAACCTGCAGGCTTCACAGATCGTTTGAGTCAAGATGTTTGGTGACCTTTGCTGAACTAGGATTTTCTCTGGACTGTTGAATCATGGGAAATGTTCTGTTTTCTTGGGTTAGCAGCACAGCAGTACTGCCACAGGCAATGTCTGGTCCCTATAGTAATCATAACACGTCCCTCTGAATAATGGTTGTGATATCCTCCTAAAGAAGTCGTGGCCCAATGGTTAGAGAGTCGGACTCATAACCCAAAGGTTGTGGGTTTGAGTCTTGTACCAGCAGGGATTGTAGATGGGGGGAGTGAATGTACAGCGCTCTCTCCCACCTTCAATACCATGACTGAGGTGCCCTTGAGCAAGGCACTGAACCCCCAACTGCTCCCCGGGCGCCGCAGCATAAATGGCTGCCCACTGCTCTGGGTGTGTGTTCACTGCTGTGTGTGTGCACTTTGGATGGGTAAATGCAGAGCACTAATTCCGAGTATGGGTCACCATACTTGGCCACATGTCACGTCACTTCACTTTAAACAAGAATTCAATATCTGAAATATGTATTTAATTCCATGATTAATTATTTTGTGGCACAACTGATCTTTATCTGTGGCTCTGTTTTACAGATCACTGTCCATGCGTAAGAAAAAGAACTACTGGCGTTTCTCAGTGAACTGCACAGGAAATGAAGCCCATCTGTCCAGCTGTAGGCTGGGCAAACCCTTGGAGCCCAAGCGGAACGGCACATGTGGACGTGGCCTGCCTGTGGTGGTCAGCTGTGTGCCTGGAAGAGCTTTTGCCCCCTCATCCTCCACTGGCTTCCGCAAGGCTTACAGACCAGAGGTTGGTAGCGTGGAATTAGCATTAGTAGCCTTACAATTTAAGTAGCTGTAATCACTAGCGCTGCTTAGCATCAAAATTATTTTCCTAAGAATCAGTGTCATCAGCAAAAGAAAAGTCATTCATGATTGTGTTTCCTAAGGCGTTCTGGTTATCATTGGGCTCACAGACATACAGTACTATTTAAAAGTATATTATGGCTTTAGACTTTGTAGAACATATCCAACAGGGAAAATAGGTAATAGAAAATAGTAATTCATGGCATGGTACAATTAACAGAGCATGAAGTTAGCATTAGCGGTCTCATAATTTGAAGGTAGTAGCTACTAGCGCTTCTCAACAGCGAAAAAGAGTGACGATAGATTAAAAATAGTATTCCTAAGAATCAACAGTACCAGCAGCAACAGAAAATGTACTTTAATCATCTTTCATAAGGTTTTCCAGTTTGCATTAGGTTCACCCAACTACTTGATTGAAAATTACCCATGGATTTACTACAAATAAAACCAAAAAAAAAAAAAAAACATGGTTACTATAGATAACCCATGGTAACTACAAATTAACCATGGTTTACTACACTAACCATAGTTTAACCTTGGTATTTGTAGTAAAACTGTTATACAAACGTAGTCAATATGCCAAAAAAACACATGCTATAATAAAACAATGGTTAATTTTCATAAGGGTTGCACTAAGGGTCCCGCGTTCTATTCGCCGCGGGAGTTTCACTCGTTCATTCTCGTGAGTATTTACATCCCTCCGCAAGCACACGTGAGCTCAGCTTTACAGAAACTCGCTGATCTGATCACAGACACAGAACAACAACACCCGGACTCTGTTTTAATCATTCTCGGGGACTTTAATTATAGTATATTATGTCCTTAAACTTAGTAGAACATATCAAACATTGTCAATAATGAGTCACTGACATGAACAACATGTAGAAAATGAAGTTTGTATTAGCGGCCCCATGTTACAAGTGCTGCTTAGCAGCAAGGAGTGATGCTGGAATAAGAATAGCTCTCCTAAGAATCTACACTGTCATCTGCAATGATATAATGAAGGAAAATTCCTTTTGGACTGACTTCCATCAGCTGTTCCCGGTTAGCACTGGGTTCACAGGCTACTTGTTTGTTCTAATGCGCACGTGAAAATTAGTTTTCCATTTTTTTATTCTAAATGTCTGTAGAGGGCTGAATGTTAAGCGCTAAGGTTACAGTCCCTCTCAGAGATGATTTGTGGTTGTAGAATGTTTGGTGAGTCTGTTTTCCCTCATCTATCGGCCTCTTACATTTCTGGAAAGAATCGCTTCCTCTTCCATTGTTTTCCTGTGGATCATCATGTTCGTTCAGCTTGGATGTCATAGTGACACTTCAGTCATGTAGTACATTAAATCATATTGCCTTTTCGAAGAAAAGGAGATTATATAATATTCAAACATGGCCCCAAAGGTCTGAAGTGCGTGTGTATAAACAAGAGATGGGGAAACTTCATCTGAAAGGCTGAATCACCCGAATCAGATCCATATACAGAGATTGAACAAACACAGGTCACTGAGGGCGTGTGGACTGATCATCCTGCTAATTTCTTCCATGTCTGATTTTGCAGCAACCCCTGGTTCGTCTGCGGGGAGGTTCGAATATCGGTGAAGGGAGAGTGGAGGTGCTGAAGAATGGAGTTTGGGGAACCGTCTGCGATGATAACTGGAACCTGAGGGCTGCTACCGTCGTGTGTCGAGAACTGGGCTTTGGGAGTGCCAAAGAGGCTCTCACTGGAGCGAAGTTAGGACAAGGTTAGTTAATACTAGGGATGCACCAATACCACTTTTTCCAGTACTCGCCCGATACCGATACTTTTATTTCTGTTACTTGCCGATACCGAGTACCAATACCGATATTTTTATTGCATTTGTACATTTTTTAAATATTGGGTACAGAAACCAAAAGGGTATGTATAATGTTAATTGGTTAACTTCATTTATCAAATAGATACAGTCAAACCAAAATTTATTCAGACACCTTCAACATTTCTCACATTATCACAGTTGCTTCAGTGTTTTTTCCCAGACTCGGTTTGAATAATTTTTGGACCCAAATTTGTATCAATTTTACTGGTAGTCCACTGTATGAAGAATTTTTGGGTATGATTTGTCACAGTTTACTTTATTTTGCTATCCTCACTTACATAAATGAACTATAGTGTCCTGCACCCACTAGTAAAAAAATATAAAAAATTATATCTGGTCTCTGAATCATGTTTGGTTTCACTGTATATCCTTCGGTTATTTTCACACTTAATTATACCCATTAACATGTATTTTACAAGTTTTTGTTACTTTCACTCTTCATTTTTTTTGCTCTGTGGTACATCATCTTTAATTTAATAGCATTAGAGCTGCTCCATTGCAGCGGCTTAATACTGTAATCACACGCTTTGCTGTAATAATGCAGGGAACCACTCGCTATAAATCTCCTAACTGTGATATTTTCAGAAATAGAAGTCGC